GGGGTCCCAGCCACACTGGGGGTCCCAGCCACACTGGGGGTCCCAGCAACCCCAGGGGTCCCAGTCACAGTGGGGTCCTGGTCATACTGGGGGTCCTGGCCATACTGGGGGTCCCGGTAACCCCAGGGGTCCCAGTCACAGTGGGGTCCTGGCCATACTGGGGGTCCCAGCAACACTGGGGGTCCCAGCAACACTGGGGTCCCAGTAACCCCAGGGGTCCCAGTCACGGTGGGGTTCTGGCCACACTGGGGGTCCCAGCGACACTGGGGGGTCCCAGTAACCCCAGGGGTCCCAGTCATGGTGGGGTTCTTGTCACACTGGGGGTCCTGGCCATACTGGGGGTTCCAGCGACACTGGGGGTCCCAGTCACATCGGGGTCCTGGCTACAAAGGGGTTCTGGTCACACTGGGGGTCCCAGCAACAGTGGGGGTCCTGGCCATACTGGGGGTCCCAGCAATGCCAGGGGTCCTGGCCATACTGGGGTCATGACAATACTGGGGGTCCCAGCAACCCCAGGGCTCCCAGTTACAGAGGGGTCCTGGCCACACTTGGGGTCCCAACAACACTGGGGGTCCCAGCCATGCCAGAGTCCTGGCCAAACTGGGGGTCCCAGTTAAACTGGAGCTGCAGCCACTCTGGGGGTCCCAGCCAAGTTGGGGACGTGGAGACACGGGGGTCCTGGCCACACCAGGGTCATGGCCATACTGGGAGTCCCAGTTACGTGGGGGGTCCTGGCCAAACTGGGAGTCCTGGGCACACCAGTCACAGCCACACTGGGGTCCCAACAACACTGGGGGGGTTCTGGCCACGTTGGGTGGTCCTGGCCATACTGGGTGTCATGGCCATACTGGGGGTCCCAGCAACCCCAGGGGTCCCAGTCAGAGCATGGTTCTGGACATACTGGGGGCCCCAGCAGCCCCAGGGTTCCCAGTAACAGAGGGTTCCTGGCCATACTGGGGGTCATGGCCATACTGGGGGTCCCAGCAACCCCAGAGGTCCCAGTCACAGCGGGGTCCTGGCCATATTGGGGGTCCTGGCCACATCAGGGTCCCAGCTACAGAGGGGTCCCAGTCAAAGTGGGTTTCTGGCCATATTGGGGGTCCCGGCCATACTGGGGGTCCCAGCAACACCAGGGGTCCCAGTCAGAGCAGGGTTCTGGACATACTGGGGATTATGGCAATACTGGGGGTCATGGCATCACAGGGGTCCCCAGCAATCCCAGGGCTCCCAGTCAGAACAGGGTTCTGGACATACTGGGGGTTATGGCCATACTGGGGGTCCCAGCAACCCCAGGGCTCCCAGTCACAGCGGGATACTGGCCATACTGGGGGTCATGGCCATACTGGGGGTCCCAGCAACCCCAGGGCTCCCAGTCACAGCGGGATACTGGCCATACTGGGGGTCATGGCCATACTGGGGGTCCCAGCAACCCCAGGGCTCCCAGTCACAGCGGGATACTGGCCATACTGGGGGTCATGGCCATACTGGGGGTCCCAGCAACCCCAGGGCTCCCAGTCACAGCGGGATACTGGCCATACTGGGGGTCATGGCCATACTGGGGGTCCCAGCAACCCCAGGGCTCCCAGTCACAGCGGGATACTGGCCATACTGGGGGTCATGGCCATACTGGGGGTCCCAGCAACCCCAGGGCTCCCAGTCACAGCGGGATACTGGCCATACTGGGGGTCATGGCCATACTGGGGGTCCCAGCAACCCCAGGGCTCCCAGTCACAGCGGGATACTGGCCATACTGGGGGTCATGGCCATACTGGGGGTCCCAGCAACCCCAGGGCTCCCAGTCACAGCGGGATACTGGCCATACTGGGGGTCATGGCCATACTGGGGGTCCCAGCAACCCCAGGGCTCCCAGTCACAGCGGGATACTGGCCATACTGGGGGTCATGGCCATACTGGGGGTCCCAGCAACCCCAGGGCTCCCAGTCACAGCGGGATACTGGCCATACTGGGGGTCATGGCCATACTGGGGGTCCCAGCAACCCCAGGGCTCCCAGTCACAGCGGGATACTGGCCATACTGGGGGTCATGGCCATACTGGGGGTCCCAGCAACCCCAGGGCTCCCAGTCACAGCGGGATACTGGCCATACTGGGGGTCATGGCCATACTGGGGGTCCCAGCAACCCCAGGGCTCCCAGTCACAGCGGGATACTGGCCATACTGGGGGTCATGGCCATACTGGGGGTCCCAGCAACCCCAGGGCTCCCAGTCACAGCGGGATACTGGCCATACTGGGGGTCATGGCCATACTGGGGGTCCCAGCAACCCCAGGGCTCCCAGTCACAGCGGGATACTGGCCATACTGGGGGTCATGGCCATACTGGGGGTCCCAGCAACCCCAGGGCTCCCAGTCACAGCGGGATACTGGCCATACTGGGGGTCATGGCCATACTGGGGGTCCCAGCAACCCCAGGGCTCCCAGTCACAGCGGGATACTGGCCATACTGGGGGTCATGGCCATACTGGGGGTCCCAGCAACCCCAGGGCTCCCAGTCACAGCGGGATACTGGCCATACTGGGGGTCATGGCCATACTGGGGGTCCCAGCAACCCCAGGGCTCCCAGTCACAGCGGGATACTGGCCATACTGGGGGTCATGGCCATACTGGGGGTCCCAGCAACCCCAGGGCTCCCAGTCACAGCGGGATACTGGCCATACTGGGGGTCATGGCCATACTGGGGGTCCCAGCAACCCCAGGGCTCCCAGTCACAGCGGGATACTGGCCATACTGGGGGTCATGGCCATACTGGGGGTCCCAGCAACCCCAGGGCTCCCAGTCACAGCGGGATACTGGCCATACTGGGGGTCATGGCCATACTGGGGGTCCCAGCAACCCCAGGGCTCCCAGTCACAGCGGGATACTGGCCATACTGGGGGTCATGGCCATACTGGGGGTCCCAGTCACAGTGGAGTCCTGGCCATACTGGGGGTCCTGGCCACATTGGGGACCCAGCTACAGAGGGGTTAGGGCCACACTGGGGGTCCTGGCCATACTGGGGGTTATGGCCATACTGGGGGTCCCAGTCACAGTGGAGTCCTGGCCATACTGGGGGTCCTGGCCACATTGGGGTCCCAGCTACAGAGGGGTTAGGGCCACACTGGGGGTCCTGGCCATACTGGGGGTCCCGGTAACCCCAGGGGTCCCAGTCACAGCGGGGTCCTGGCCATACTGGGGGTCATGGCCATACTGGGGGTCCCAGCAACCCCAGGGCTCCCAGTCACAGCGGGATACTGGCCATACTGGGGGTCATGGCCATACTGGGGGCCCCAGCAACCCCAGGGGTCCCAGTCACAGCAGGGTCCTGGCCATACTGGGGGTTATGGCCGTACTGGGGGTCCCAGCAACCCCAGGGCTCCCAGTCACAGCGGGATACTGGCCATACTGGGGGTCATGGCCACACTGGGGGTCCCAGCAGCCCCAGGGGGCCCAGTCACATTGGGGTCCCAACCACAGGGGGGTTCTGGCTGCACTGGGGGTCATGGCCATACTGGGGGTCCCAGCAACCCCAGGGCTCCCAGTAATAGAGGGTTCCTGGCCAAACTGGGGGTCATAGCCATACTGGGGGTCCCAGTAACCCCAGGGCTCCCAGTCACAGTGGGGTCCTGGCCAAACTGGGGGTCCTGGCCATACTGGGGGTCCTGCCCACATGGGGGTCCCAACCCCAGGAGGCCCCTATCCCCACGGGACACCCATGGGTGCTGTCGGTGCCGCGTGCCGGGGGCAGAGCATCCCGTGGGGGCTCCTCGGGGGGGCGAGGGTCCTTCACTAGCCTCCCCTTCCTCCACCTTCCCCCCCTCC